AGTTCTAGAAACTAAAGGGCGTGAGAATAGTCACGTCATCTCGATGACGCAACATTATGTTAAGCTCAGGATGTCAGAGAGGAGTGATGAAAAATAAATGATAAGCAAGATGGTACAAAAAAATGCCATGATTCCCATATAAGGGAAGACTGAGGATTTATTTAAAAATTTGCCCTTAAAATTAAGAAATTTAAAGTTATATAACATTAAAAATTGATTTATTAACTATGTTTTGATTTGATGCCAAGTTTATTTCTATACATTGATAATAAAATAGTTTAATTAAATTTTGAATGAAACTCTATAAAAGATCATGATATGTGCAATTTGACCTACCTTAACAAGAGAGTTAACTCTCTCATAAGAGGCTTGGTCAGTTTAACCTAAACCTTAACCCCAAATTGGTCTTTAAAGTTTCCATACTATAACTTGTAGACAAAAAATCATGATTTTTATTATTTTCACTAAAAATGTTTCTGTGAATATATGAAGTCAAAGTGATTTTGATGTTAAGATTATAATATCCTTTCAAATTACATAATGCAAGGGCAACTCGTGAGTTGCTTCCAAGCGTACCTCACTTTAATTATCATCATTATTTTACCTAATCTAACCTAAAAATTTTCTAATTTTTACATTATAGTTACTTATATAATAATAGGTAAAGAATACGCATGAAAAACAAGAAATATAGCACTTATATGAGTCTTCTTTTTTTTGCTGTCAACTGTTAATGAAACATAACCCTACTTTTTTATACTAACTGTACTACTGCATTAAATATTTTTAATTTAACGAAAAAATGCACCAAAGAACACAGAATGATAATACATAAAAAACAGACAATGTTCTATAACTACAACAATTGTTCTTGCTTTCTAACTAAGCAAGAAGTTCCATTAAAAAATTTAGCTAAGCTCATCAATGTTTCCTGTGGGAATAAGTTTGAACTGTAAGTGAAACAGACAATTCCCTGTACCAAAAACAACATTATATGATATGTCATTTGAAAGATTAAAACTATGTCTTTCTATTGGTTGTAAATAATATTGTATTAAACATTAGAGAGAAATATTGGCAATTTGTGAAAGAGACGATGTGACAGGTGAACATGATAAGTGTGGTCTGATTTTATAGTTTATGGTTCTGTAACAAAATAAGATTGAAGGCTATAAAAATTATGCTTTGCCTGAGTGATGACACACTATAATGAGCAATGTACATTAAATTTCGTATTTCTTGGAGGGGTAGTAAATGAATAACAGAAAAGGAGGATACCTAGAGTGCAAATGTCACAATTCTCAAACTAGGGGAGATTGAAGATTTTTAAATATTGCTTTATAAAATTAATAAATTAAATCTTATACAGTATTAAAATTTGGATTATTAGCTACATTGTGATGCCAAGTTTATTTGCGTACCATGATAATAAAGCACTTTAATTAAATTTTTAATGTAACTCAGTAAAATTTCCTGACATGTACTCAAAAGGATGCCCATAGCGAGAGGGTTAAGATATGAAAATATTTTTAGCTCTGCATTAAAGTCCTAAATAAAAACTTAAAAACACTGCTATAATGTATGTCTTCTTGTGACAGAAAAATTTAATTTTAATCATAGCAAAAAAAATTATTTCATAAACACATTCTTAATCTTCTTTTTCTCTAATTCATACAGTTAATGGTAACTATCTATAAATACACCAACTTATGAAGATATACATTGTGGTTTATTCCACAGAAATCAAAATAATAATAGCTGTTGCAAAATAAAGTATGTTCCTAACATTATAGCAAAAATCTGTGCCAGATTCAGATAAGAAATGTCTTCAATGAAGTTACATATACATATGAAACACTTTAACCTATTTGTTTTTTAGAAAAAAATATCTTCCACTTTTAAGCTATATTCTGTCTGCTTTTATTACACTTATTTGGATTTTTACTTAAAAAAGATGATGAATTTTATTTTAATGCATCTTGGTCAGTCTTTAACATTACTATCATTTCTTATCTATCAATCAGTATATGGAAGTTTGGTTACTTAACATAAATGCTTAATATTCTACAGTTATCAAAGTGCACTCACCCCTCCTGACTTTGGGACAGAAACAATCCTGACAAAAGGAGGCATGTCACGCTCCAACTCATTATACAATCTTTCCTGATCAATTACTAAGATGATATCGACTAAAAAAAAAGCATATATGAGTTAGGTAAAATAACACCACAACAATTATTAAATTCATACAGTTAACAAGAGATGTGTAAAAAATATGCAATTTGTCTCAACAACCATGATAATAAAGCAATAATACTTTTAAAATGATAATTTTAATCACTTTGAATGAAGATTTCTAAGATTTTACATATCTGAATGGAGGTTAAAAAGAATATATAACAATAAAGTCTTTATAAAAACTTTTAGTGACAATGTATGATCTTGAATGTTCCTAAAATAATACTTGATTAAATCTCTTTAGACATATTAAATATACATAATTAAATTTAATTTTATAGAAAAAAAAAAACTGAAAAAATAAATAATGAATTGCAGCCACAATACAAACATTCAATACTGGCACAGAAATCATTAGGTGGATCATTATTGTAATGTGTCCTGGTTTTCTGAGTTACTGGCTGAAGTAAGACAAAAATTGCATTGGGGTACACCATCAATACAGTTTAATCTCAACTTTGCTTGCCTTGCATGCTTAAGAAATAAAGAAACAATGGAGCAGATGTGGTTAGGCTTAGTATAGTAATACCTTAACACATTTGTATTTATGTCCAAACATCATATTGGGGGCTGGAATGATAACTTCAAGAACAGTTTTGCTGCCATATCCCCAAATCAAAATGTAAACTTATAACCTCCATGCTTCTTGCTTTATGCCAATATGAATTACATGCTATGCCCTCTTAATACAATCAGTTTTTCAAAAATATAAATAATTCTCTAGGATAATTGCTACTGGATTATTTCTAACCAACATAAAAATAATTTTTCAATTTACTGAATGGGATGAGGCTAGCAGTCATTAGGATAGCCACTTTTGATGGTTTTGACACCCTTTTCTTTGTCTGTCAGCATCACAACTCTGACCAGGTATGTGAATTATTTAACAATTTCTTGCTTAGTTAGAAAGCCAAGCAAATTATATTAGTTTTAGAACATTCTATTTTATATTAGTGGCAATATTTCCTATTCTAACTTGTATATTTGAATTAAAAATAATAATTTTTAAGATTCCACTATCCTATTGTTTTGTTTACACAGCTGTTTTGTATAATAAATAGCTATGGTATTCTCTGAGAAGGTTTAAGTATAACTGAATGAAATAAAACTAAATGAAAATCAAAAATACTTAATATATTTAAATCACTACATATATAAATATATTCATGAATTGAATACATCATTTTCAAAATTCTAGCTTCATGCTAGCCAGGCTAATTTAATTGTATTTCAAGTTAAAATGCAATAAGAAATACTATATGTTTTACAGGAATTGGAATTTCTACCTTATGAGTGTGCACTCTTCGACTATGCCACTAATACCCATGGTCTCAGCATATGGCAGTGTCACTGAAAGTCTGTCTTGGCATATACATACAATTTTGCTTTTACTAAATTACATTATAGCACACTTAAATAATACACAAGACTTGCTATCACGAATCAAGGATGTAACTCACTTAGTGACCAGCACAACAATACTCTTTATATTGGATGTTGTAGCTCTCTACCCATCTATACAAACAGAGGATGGCATCAATGCAGTGTGTGAATTCATGTAGATTCACATAAACAATTTCGAGATGTATGGACCAACAATACACACTGTCAGAGAAATCTTACATTTCATCCTTCACAATGGATATTTTCGTTTTCACAACAAACTACATCTCCAACTCAGTGGGGTCTCAATAGAGTCACTGTTATTTATGCTGTTATATTCATGCATGTTTTTGAAAAAATGGCACTTGACAAGTGGCGCCAAGATACCAACACTGGCCCTAATCTCTGGCTTAGATACATCGATGACATGTTTGGACTATATAACTACGGTCTTCCTTCTTTAATCCAATTTTTAGACTTTCTAAATTCCATAGACCCCAATGTCCAATTCACCCTGAATCATTTGAATGACAAGAGGAACATAGATTTTCTTTACATTACCTTAAGGATACAATGACAATAATATACAATCTACCTTGTTTCACAAACAAATAAGAAAACCTCTCTCCCTTAACTTCAACTCCCATCACAATTATTGAAGAGTTAAACAGAATCAATGGCAACAGTAGTAAAAAACAAAATAATACACGCTCTGAAATAAAATCACTTCTTCTGAGTAAAAAATATCTATTTTTTTTATATTGAACAAATTTTTAAGGACTGTGAAGTGCAAAAATAAGCTTTTTACTTCCAACATGAAAAAACACAGATAAACAAGGAGGGAAAAACAATATTTTCCAAAGATAACACAAAAAAGTTATTTTTATAACACCTCTAACTGACAATGCTATCTCCAAGAAAATAAAAACTATAATCAGAAAATCTGAACTGCCAATCAAAATATCAGTACACTACCCTACAATGTAATAAATCCAACTGTCTTACAAAAACGTGTTTGCAATCTAAAGATGAGTGTCTGATCTCCAATGTCGTTTACCAGCTCACATAAAACATCTGCCACCATACGCACACAGGAGAAAATGGAAGAACCCTACACACAAGGATAGGAGAACATATTGACGTTCTTTATAAACAACAACATGAAAGAAGCACAGTTGCAGATCATTTTTTAACTAATCATGGACAAATAACACCTGACTTGAAACCACTATTCTCCATACAAATCCTCACCAAAGCCTCAAAGTACACTGACAGAAAATTCAAAGAAGCTCTTCTCATCAAACAACTACGACCAAAGATCAATAAGAACAAAGGATGGCACCTATAATTTTAATTATTTTATTTAATTTTTTAACCTATCTTTTTGTTATTTCATGTTGATAGTACTTTTGTTTACTACAGGTAGCAGTTTATTATTTCATCAATAAGCTTTACTACTTAATATGTTTAACACACGCTGTAAAAATGCACATTATAGATTCAAACAGAATTTATTATTTAAACTATTTGAAGCTTTGTATTGTCAATTTCGGTTTGTGTTTTAGTGGAATGCTCCTGAAGAAGCTGTAAAGCAAAACACTGAGTTTTTAATTGAATAAAAACAACATTTTGGTATTCTAAGGTTATTTATTTCTAGTATTAAATGAAAAATCCATCAGCTTTGGCTGTAAAAAGAATCAGTTTAACACTCTACTTTCACAAAACACTGCATATGTGACCTATATTTTCTATCTATGAAATCATGCAATAATTTACAATACCTTATCAGTGTGGGGGTATCAATGAACAGTTGTACATGGTCATTTTTCTCGTGCTTGAGATCAGTGGCAGTCTTCCTTCTGTCCTGAAGGTTGCATAAACAAAGATACTTAACATCAATATCATTGAGATTAAGTGTTCTGCCTCTTCCTTTCCTATTTTCAAATTTACCTGCCTCAATCTCATAAGCTAGGATGTACTTGGCAGTATTTGGGGAGCATTTCAAGACTACAGCAATTTGTCAGAGAGTCCAACCAGCATCACATAAAGTTTTTATGCGAACTCTCTGCTCTACTGATTATTCTCTTTGCTTTTTGGGCCATGATAACAAAACTTATTATATTGTGTTAAACACTGTTTTTATCAAGGTTTATTTGTAGAGTGTTATTTAACTGATTTCTTCTGGCATATACCGGTATCATATGCTAGCTCCTTGCTAGCTTCTTTCTATATTGTTTAGACATTGCATGGGGTACCATGACAGTTATTTCAGACCCTAAATTTGATCAATATGTTCATTCATGCAGAACCCGTATGACATGCCCTTGGTATATTAGAATTCTAAATAATGATACGTATTTATATCCTGGCTCATTCAATTGTAAACAGAAATCAGTGAAGCATTACCACAGTGTTGAAATTTACATTCTGTAATGGCAGGGAAAAATTAGCCCCATAAAATAGAAAAATAACTAAATATTCTCTTGTCCTAACTCTTTTGCACAGTACTGTATATCATGAATGTATTCTTAAACCAGGCAATGTAATACACAAGCACTGACACTTGCCAAAGCAATCATACTGACTCACGTGGAATTTTAAGTATTGTGCACGTCAATGTACAATATGCACAGGTAAGTTCAATGAATTATCCTAACATTTTAAGGAGGATGCTAGGAAAAACACTCCAATAACAAAATGTACAACTGTTGCATTCATGTCTAGAACATCGTAGTTCATAGCTTTTGCTATATTCAGACTTATAATTGTGCAACTAATGTAATATTTCATTAAGTGTTGCGAGAATTTACAGTCACATATTTTGTTTTGCAGAAGATTTTAAATAAGTGGTATGCTTCTTTTACAGATATTCAATGGAAAGGGATTGACATGTTGATATCTGGACAAGAAGAGGTGGACACATGTCTCCTGTTGGACCGACGTGCTGATATCTGGACAAGAAGAGTTGGACACGTGTCTCCTGTTGGACTGACGTGCTGATATCTGGACAAGAAGAGGTGGACACGTGTCTCTTGTTGGACTGATGTGCTGATATCTGGATCAGAAGAGGTGGATACATGTCTTCTGTTGTATGCCAAGCTGACTGCAGAGAACTTCCCAAATCTAGTTATTGTGACAGATGACACTGATGTCTTCATTATTTGCCCATGGATGAGCCAGAGTATCAACAGCAGAACAGGGTTCAAAATCATCTGTGAAGCTTGTTGACATCACAAAATCAGCTAATGCATTGAGAAATGATTTTTGCAAAGTGATGATAAGTTGTGACACGCTTAGCTCATTTGCTGGAAAAGGGAAAGTGAAAACATTGAAACTAATGATATGGGATTTAACATTCCTGGAAGCATTTGCCTCACTCAGCAAGGTTTGGGTCCTTCCGGATGAAATATTCAGTATTGTTCAAGATTTTACTTATCAACTATACTGTTGTAACATCAAAGTACTTGAGGTCAGCGAATAGTGATACCAAATGTTCTATAGCAAAAGGCATGAAATTGAATTTGAACAACTCCCACCATGTAAGGAATGCTTGCTGCAGTACACACATCTTGCAAATTACCAGGCTGTTATCCCACAATGAAGTCTGATAAACTCTCCAGATATTCCTATCCGTAGTGCAGGACATGGGTGGGCAACAGGTCTCAGCAGCAATCTTGTTGTGCAGTGGATGGTTCCCCAGCACCAAATGTTGTCTTTAGTCTGATATCATTCAAGTGTGCTTGATCTTGTCAACCTACTGATTGCACATGCATTATAAATGGCCTGAAATGCACAGAGGTGTGCAAACTACTTACCCATGCCAACATGGGTGAAGCTTTTCTCTTCTTTATAATGCTTGGAGACGGCTTGAATGGGTAATGAAGAAAAACTTTAATATAATTTAACATAACAGCAGCAAATGTACAACATTTCAAAAAGGTTTTGTCGTCATCAGGTAGATTTAGATGCCCAGATGGAAAATAATTTTTGGATCTAAAGTGACCACCACATATATTTTCAGACATATGGCTAACTGAAAAAATATAGAAGCATTTAGTCCCTCTGTCTGGTATTCAATTCTCAATTTTGAGGGTCTGGCTCATGGACTATCACTTGACACTAAGAATAAGCTTGTTGTGATTGAAAATGCTAAAGTGTATGGACATCACTTTGGTATTTGGAGGAAAGATGGAGATCATACATATGTTGATTATATACCATCAGTGAACCTATCTATTGCTTCATTTCAGATCCACACACCAAAGAAAAATTTCACACTAGTAAATGTACTATAGATTTTTCACAGGCTGTCAAATCTGGTAAACTTGTTTATCCCATAGACAATTATGATGTTCAAAATGAGACCGAGTTAAATAGAACAGACTCCCAGTCAGATCAGATCATGGTAGATGAAATATGAAAACAAAGGTTTAAATGGAGGATGAGAAAGAGCATGAGGGATCACACTGATGTCCCAGTAGGCAATTCAAAGGAATGGAAAAGGAGGGAAAGACAAAATCAGAAGAAACATAAAAAAACAGAAGGAGGTCGACAAGGCTGTCTGACAGCTAGACATTGATGAAGTGGACAATACTTTGTCAAACAACTGGGTGAAGAAGATATACTATCGTCTGTGGATAATGAACATGGAAGAAGGTGCAATGGATCGGGAAATGAAAGATGCAACCTGAGAGAAGCCACGCCATGAAGAGAAATTTGTTGGAAGAAGATAATAAATCCACTACAAAATTCAGGTAGCCAGGAAAAAGGTATGCTAATACCACAACATGGTGACTGTGGGCCCACAAAAAAAGAAGGTCCGGGATCTGAAAGAACATAGACCTGGAATCGGTACCCCCTGGCTCAGTGATATAACTCAGTTGACAACTGACATTGCTACAACATTTCTGAATAGTTGTACATTGGTAAAATCCACAATGCCATGTATTATATATCGTGACAATATTGTGGCACTGTCAGACATTAATGGTGAATATATATATATATTCATGAACAAAGTAATTTATAAAAAATCCAACAGCCGCTTAGGTGTTTTGAAATACTGAACAACATTATTTGAAGTATTTTTTGTATGGTTTATGTCTTTAAAAATTTACAAAGTAGAAAAACATTTTCACAACGTCACAGCAATGTTGTATGTACAACTTTTATTGAAACACAAGTAATATGCCTACACTTTCTACTGTGCAAGTACTTGTTATTTCAATTATTTTATGAATAAGAAATACATCATTTATTAAAACCATAAACACATTCAACGTTAAAATTCGTACACAATTAAAAACATTTTATTTAGGCCTTCAAAAAGTTGACAACTCTACATGTTTTAACATTGCAACGTCATCCTCAGGAGTGAATTACAAGACAATGCTAAAATATTTATAACTTTTAGTAGGTCATGTGACCTGTATGCTATTTTACATAAATTCACGCTAAACCATTCAAAGGAGATCAATCCACATTCTTGCAGAAATATTCGCCATATCTTCATCTCTATTTAATACTACATGATCTTTTTTTATGTTTAATTATTTCTAACGATTCCTGAATATTATTACCTATTGTACTTTTAGGTTGAGCTAATATTATAGTTTTTCCCATAATATTGTGTGTTATGTTTCCTGTACATGTTCTACTATGGATGAATTTTCAGTTTTTTTATTTCTTACATATCCCTTATGCTCATTTAAACGGTATTTTAAATTAAGTTTTGTCTGACCAATGTAAATACTTCCACATACACATTCTATTTTATATATATTCCAGTTTTTGTCAGTTAACTGTATTTCATCTTTTGTAGTACCTAACATTTGATTTATCTTATTTATCAGTTTAAATATAGGGTAGAATATCTGTTGTTTTTTAAACACTTTAAATAAACTAGTAGTTAAACCTGGAATATTCGGTAAAATTAAGTCTTCCTTTCTAATTTTTTTTTCATAACTAGGTTTTAAAGTACTAATTTGGTCAATTATTATAGCATTAGTGGATTTCTTAACTGCCCTATCTACAATATTCGAGTTAAAACCTCTGTTGACTGCTACATATTTAATTAATAACTATTCCTTTTTAAATCCTTTTGGTTATTACATATCTTCAAAGCTCTGTTAACATAACTATAAAATGCAGACATTTTTTGCGACCTAGTATGACATGATTCCTGGTGTGTGGGCATAAGAATAGAAAAAGGTTTCCAATAAACTGATGTTCCTAAATTCCCTTGTACATTCCTTTTCACCATTACATCTAGAAAAGGCAAGCTATTATTTTTCTCAATTTCAAATGTAAATTGTATGGATGGTTCAATGCTGTTCAAATAGTAAGCAAACTCTGTTAATGCCTTATTACCATATTTACACACCAAGAATGTGTCATCTACATACCTTATCCAAATATCAGGTTTACATTTTAAATTATTTATGGCTTTAGTTTCAAACACATTCATATATAAATCACATAATAATAATGGGGGGGTGGGGGTGTGTGATCCCATAGATGACCCTTCATTCTGTTTATAGAAATTATTGATAACTTGAAAAAATGGATTCGTAACACATACCTTAGTTAAATTAATTATATCCATAGTTTTAACTGCTGAAATTTTATTTTCTAACAATTTTTTTCAAAACATTTAATTGGGTTGTCAACTTGTCACAGTGTTCTTGGCAAGGAAATGACTAGCTTTTTATATGTATTTTTGTATGAAATACATAACAATATCTTCTTGTAAACCTATATGTACAGGACAATACCAAATATATTATGTTCTAATTAAAATATAAAATTTGATCATTAAATTTTATGGTTACATTGATCACAGTCTTTTTCAAACTTAAACGATATATTGTACAAAACCAAATGGTATAATGAGTACCAGCTCTATCAGGCAAAAGTGATAATTGAAATTTCTATGGCCTCACTTGTTATTGACTAATGGTATTTGTACAGATGAATCAAGGTACGTCACAGTTGTTTACTTCACTTGATTTTTTATGAAAAGAACTTAGCACAAATACCTATATTACAATTATTTTTAGATTTTTGAATTTTTTATCCTTGTAGTTTTCAATTCATAATTTTGTAGCTTTACTCAATTATTCAATGTTTATAGATTGTTGTTCCCACCACTGGATGTAAAACTTAAAATTTCAGCATAGGCTAAATGGGAGTGTGTATTCATAAGTATTCTCCTCCAAAGGTTTTTAATACATATTTTGGAAATTTACCAATAATTTGACATGCATAGACCTTCAAAATGTTTTTTGTGGTGTTTTGATTTAGGAATATTTGTTGAATGTTTGAATCAATTTACTTAAGCAAAATATGCAATTTTTTGCATGGAATTATACTAGTACTATAATTTAAAAACATAATGTAATACTAATAGTGTAAAGTAAAACATTTGAACGAAGTTCTTAAGTGATTTCTAAATTCTACAGAATCAATGAATCATATATTGTGATTAAAAATATAGCAAATATGATGAAACTTGTAAGTTAGTATGACAGCATTTCCAACATTTGTGTTTTATTCATACATCTCAGATGAAGATGGTACATTGACTGTAATTTGTAAAGAAAGCACAACAACCCTTATCCCCAGCCTTTGTTACCCCATCTGCTACTATGACACCTCACCAACAGGCCTCATTCTCAGCCTATCAGGAGACTGTTCACACTCTACTGGCAGGCTTTGATCTCAGCCTACCAACAGTCACAATCCACACTTCACCTTGCAACCACTGGCTGCAAAAGCACAAGAGAGTAAGCATTAAGTATAATTTGCATTTATTTTATAAGCAGTAATTAATGATTAATTTTTTCATTTCTGCCAATATTATGTAGTTTTAACACTTTCATATATTATTTTACAAATTATCGAATAGGTAACATCCTGGACAATCAACAGCAACAGACAGCCTTGCTTTGCCAAATGTGAAGTGGAGGTAGAAAATGAGGGGATATTAACTGTATGCTAAAAGATTTGCTTCCAAAGCCATTTGACACCCTGACCAGCTGAATGAGTCTGACAAGAAGTTAGAGGATGATTCCTTCAGAAAAAAAAATGGCAAGTCATTTAGTTGAAGGTATATAAATATACTGTAAAGTACATGTGTGTATATGATATACATAGTTGCATCATAGTTCATTAAAGTAAATATGCCAAAAATAGGCACCTACAGATTGTGGTCTGCTTACAACTTGAAGGGCAAAAAACAAAAGGAGGCATTCACAAATCTTCTACTTTTCAAATGCATTGAGAGTATTTGTTGAAATGTAATCATTGTTAATGCATAATATGTTAATTTTAGTCTTAACACAGTAAACCTTAAAATAGAAACACATTGAGATTACTGAAAAAAAATAATGTATGAGAAATAGATTCTAAAGTTTGTGCATGTGTGTGTATATGCATTAACTTAAATTGTATATCTGTTGCAGAATCCTACCTTCATACTCACCCAAAGGAAAAGGAAAACACTAGTGAGGACCAAGTGACAGAACTTGTGATAAATGTTCCCAATAAGCCAGGAGGAACAAGGCATGAGGTATGTTGGAGTCAATAATTCTAGAGTGAAAATTTATAATGGAGTTTTTCACCTTACACTCTCTCACTTCATAATTAAAAAATTATGCTCATAAAAATAATATATATGATGCTGGATATCTTGCAGCATTCTACTTCAGCAAATGGTGGCCAAACATTAGAAAATGATTAAGTGGAAAAAGAAAAACCTCCAAGTGGAAAAGTGTCACCAATAATAATTGCAATAAAATTTTGTAAAGTTTTTATTAGAGAATAAATGTTGAATAAACTTATGAGAATGAAAGAAGATGAATTTGTTATTTTATCAGATAATCTTAACAAGTGGGCTTAACCCTATTACAAACAGTGGGCAGCTCTCATTCAATATATAAAATTAAAGTTTCTAATCAACAATAAAACAGTAACTACTTCTGTCAGATTGTATGAACATATGAGAAAGTTAGTATATTGTAAATTACTTTTAATGAAAAACAACTATTGGATACATTTACATGATTTCAGACAGACATTAATCAAAAACAGAAATTCTATGATGAAGTGTTTTTAATATAAAAAAGAAGAAAGTGTTTCACAAGAATATAACCAAAAATTTTAATTCTTAGCCAAAAATATGTAAATACTACACCAGATTGTTAAATTATTCAAGCAAAAAGTACATATTTGAAAAGTATGTACCAAATTTTATGCAATCAGGTTAAGTATAAATGTGAGAAAAACAGTGGTTACATGATGCCACCCTGGCAGTCCTGATAGTTTAAAAAAATGGTGGCATAATGGTTGTAGGAAACTAACAATGCAATGTAAAACCAAAATGTTTTAGCAATGATTCTGGGAGTCCACAAATTTACATTACTGCAACGTAAACCTCTAACGTTGTGGCAACCAATATGTAACGTTGCAACAACATTGTCACAATGTAAAATTGTTAACTGGGAAGTGACCACTGAGGAGATGTCAGAATTTACCATAACCCCCATCCCTGTACGAGAGGAAGGAATTGGGACAAAGCTTGATGAACTACCAAAGGATCAAGAAAGGTGATATGAAGAGAAAACTCCTTGATTAACCACAGACCGAAAATCACCCAAGAATCAAGGTAAGAACCCCAACCCTCTAAAGATGAGTATGTGAACAGATATAAATCCAGACAAAGTGGAGTAAGCAGCACGTCTGCCATGGCCTGTACTCTGTCTAACCATCAAGCCAGAAATTCGAGGAGAAGTAGCACCGATCAAGGAGTGTCAACCGAAGGGAACTCATATGAGCCTAACCCATGGGAATGAGAGCATCCAAGGAAGACCACATTCCCAAAGAGATAGAACATCTTGAGCAATAAAAAAAGGTGAGGGATGAGTGAACTGCTCACTCCAAACCCGAAGACAATGAGGAAAAGGTTGAGCCCAATTGAGGTTGGAAAGATGAAATCCCCCCAAATGAATAGGATATTGAGAGAGGGTACAAAAGGACTTCCCCACTGTCAACAGGAATCCCACCCATCATGCATCCTGTAGGAGCAGGGGAGTGTGGTCTCTGGACTGTGTATGGGAGAAAGTAAGCAGGAGCTAGTCATCCATAGAAAGAAGAATGCAGAAACTCACAGAGTCAATATGTCAGGCAAGAGTTTGTACTCCCTGACAAAACACTTAAAGAGCCAAATTTAGTCCGAAAGGTAGGGCTCTCAACTGGAAAACTCAACTTAGAACTATAAATAACTATCAACAAAGTGAACACTGTGGGGAAGATTACGAGAAGAAAATGAGGTTTCTAGGATCACAACTGTAGGCAAAGAAGCCAAAGTCAAGCTCAGCCCTATAAACGAGAAAGAAATGAACACATCAGTGATGTAACAATGCAAAAAGTTCCACACTGATGAAAATTAGGATGATAAGCCACATAAAAAAAATATATATTCAGCTAGAACAATGAATTAGATATTACAAGTAGTAATGATACATAACATACAAACTATCAAAACATACCCAGTAAACAAAAGACTGATAAATATCAAATAGACAAACCAACTAAATTTATCTAGTCCACAAAGTATGTAATAATAACGAGTGTGCTAACTGATTAAACTTATCAAGAAAACACATTAATAATCAGTATCTAAGTTGTCAGTCATCAAAATTAACCTAGATGACAAAAGACACATAATTAAGTCCAACACTGACGAAAATTAGGGTGATAAGGCACACACAGTAACAATGACGAAAAAATAATGAATTATATGTTACTAGTTGTAATGATATGTAAGGTATAAACTATCTAAACATACCCAGTTAACAAAGTACTTACAAATAACAAACAGACAAACTATCTAAATGTACCTAGTTCACAGAGTATGTAATAATAACGAATGTGCAGACTGACGAAAATATCCTAAAAAACACATTAATAATCAACATCTAACATACCATTCCTGTAAATTAACCTAGACAACAAAAGACACTGACAAAAATGGAGATGAGATGGCACATGACGGAAAAAAAACAACTAAAATAGACCAACGAATTAGATGTTACTAGTAGTAGTAATGATATGCAACTTACAATCTAAACATACCTAAGTAGATTACTTATTAATAACAAACAAAACCATGAAATTTGCTAGGTCTGCAAAGTACATAATATTAATAAACATGCAAAATGATTAACCCGTTACTTGCTGTGGCCATTTTGTCTTATTGTGAGGGCAAAATCACATTTGTCAATTGAAGAAATGATAGAGAACTTATCTTTTATTCGATTTCAGATTTCATATTTGTAAATAGTAGCATAACATTCAATTATTTGTATAAAATTGTATTACTTAATGAAGTTTAAAGAGGAATTTAATGAAAAAATTCCTAAAATATGTTTTAGACTGTAAATAAGCATCCTCTAAGAAGAAATTTTCTATTCAAAATTTTTTAAAGATATTTCCTTTCACTTCAACACTGGTCCTGCCATCTACGATTGGTATCTAAACCTTTTTCTAGTTTTTTTTTCTTTATAAAACTGCATCTGGGCGTGTTAAATCTCAGTTGTAGAACTTTTAACCAATCCCAGTCGAAGGTGTCAATTTCAGTACCATGTTATTCCAATCAATGTATCTCACATTTGACAAATCATAGGATGATAAGGA